TATTATCATAACATATATCAACAAATCAAATATAAAAAATCAGATCAAATAAAAAAAATCAAATAAAAAAAAAAAAAAATCAAATAAAAAAAAAATCAAATAAAAAAAAATCAAATAAAAAAATCAAATCAATCGAATCGAAAAAAATCAAATTTAAAAAAAAAAAGTATGTCAAAGAAAAACTCAATGAAAAACACAACAAACAATTTATAAATAATAAAATTATAACATATATCATCATAACATATCGAAGAGCACAAAGGGAATACGTCCACTAACCATTGTTTTGAGAAATCTGAATTTGAAAGTTTGAAAATTAACAATAATTCATGATATTTATTTATTGTCATGATTTTTAACCAAATGCATTCCTCAATTAATTCTGTCTTGTTTTTTACTATTTTATTTTCATTTCTTTTACATACTTTAATACCTAATTTGTTTAATGTTTACCTAATGTTTAAATGTTGGACATATTTCCTTTGTGCTCTTAACCATCGATATATCAACAAATCGTATGAGAAAAACTCCATGGTGATAGAATAAGCCTGTTTTCAGACAACTCGCTTTGTTCGTGTTAGCAAAAAATATTTAGGCGAAAAAAAATTTAGTAGTTGTTGAGTAGTGTTATTTGTTGTTGTGTTTTTTTTTAACTTTTTTTTAGTATTATCAGTTTTAAATTTTTTCTTTTAACTTCGATATTTCTTAAAATTATAATTTTAACATTTGTAAGTTATGCATTTTCAGGTTGCACTATAAACAAAGTTCAATACCCGGTGGGAGATTTTATAAACTTTTGTAGAAAATGTACATGCCACAATGACGGATCATGGGTGTGCCGTGCACAGTGTCGTTTTCCTTCTATAAAAACATGTCCTTACGGTCAGGCTCTAAAACAAGTTGATGTCGAAGTATTGAAAGGATGCTTCTGTCAAAAGTCGATCTGCGCCGACATAAGTAAGTTGTTTTATCGGTTTGAGATAATTCTGCGCTCGTATATATAATATTTAAAAAATAATTCTATTTAAAATAAAACATTAAAAAAATATATTTATTGTTAAAGAATATTTCAAGCAGTATATCTGAATTTAAAGCAAGCGAAAAAGACAGAGCCCAGTGGCATAAAAATGTTATTCGAAAAAAGGCTTATTCATATTAATTAGGTACCTTTATATAAAAAAAAACCTTCAATTTTTTCAACCAATTCCGTTAGGTTTTATGATGAATTTTTATACCAAATTTTATAAATCATAAACAACTAGAAGTAATGATAACTTTAAATATGGAATAAAATTTGTTGTGTACATCGTAACAGAGATATTATAGAAATTAAGAACAATATTGCATAAAATACACAAAACCTATATTTGTAAATATTTTATACCTTAAATCTTAAATTTCAAGGAATAATCTCTTAGCACTTAAAAATTATGACCATGTTTAGTTTAAACTCACTTCAATTTGAGGGTGTTACAAATGTATACATAATTTGGCGCAACTTTTGTAAACATGAAAGAGATTTTTAAATATCAATTATTATGTATAAAATAAAATATCTATAAATCTATGTTAGTATGTTACTTTTATTTGTTAGCATTTATGTTGGTGTGATAAATTCTTGATGTGAAAACTAATTATTTTACCAGGTTCGTTTACTTTAAAAATCATTCGGTTTTTTTCTATAGTAGCACTGTTACCTAGTTTAACCAACACTTTAAACAAAAAAACGTATCAAAACTTAACTGTGTATTGTTTTTTTGAAATTTTTGATTGTTGTAGTTAATATATTAGATGTTTCAAAAATTTATGTGTTATGGATGACTGCTTTGCTGATTACCTTAGCCCCAATGTCAAGTATTCCATTAGTAGATATTCACTTAAAATAATTTGAAAAAGATTACAATTTACCCATAAGACAAAAAGGTCCTCATCTTGTTAGCCCACTTTGTTCTTTTTTGTGAAAAAAATTAGTTTGACGTATCTAGATTGAAGAGCAAACTGTAGAAACCACTCACTACAATTTTAAACCAACTTAGGCGAGATATAAAAAAGATGTAAGCCACAAACACGGAGAGAACTTGCTTAAGGCAGTTTTTAAGATCAAGACATCAAGACCAAGATTTTGAAAACAATTTATTAACTTTATAAATATTATGTAGCAGTTTACTAAAAAAGATCTGTATTTTAGCCCTTTAGAAATTTGCATATTTAGCTTTAAAGATCCGCAAATTACCGAGAGTGGAATCACGGTGTGTGAGAGGAGTGTTACCACGCACAGAAGACTATTTTCAACTTATATTCGTTTTTTAAGGAACATATTCGACTAGACAGTATTTAATACATTTCAAGCAGCAGATTTTAAGTTTTGATGACCTCTTTTATTTTTTTTAGAAAGCAGTTGGCCGTTTTAAAGGATTCACCCACCCACCCATCCGCCCACTCATTTTATTTGCTAGAATTGCTCCTGAGAACAACAAAATAGTATTGAATGCGTACTTAAGGGTAACTTATTAGAATATACTGAAGTCAACATTTGAAAAAAATATAAAAGATATATAATACATCTATAAGTAATAATTTATAACAGTATTTTCTAGCAGGAAATCATAAAGATATTCTAAAACTAAAGTCCCTCCCCTGGTATAAAAATGCACTCCAGGATTTTAAAGAGATCTAGTTTTAAAAATTCAAAATAAATATCTTAATGATAGAACATTTTTTTAAATTGGATAATATATATATAGTGAGAGTTTTTTGCCCAAAAATTTTTGACTTTTTTGATCCAAAAATTTTGCGCGCTTCATATCTTTATAGAACTTTTAATTAACATAGATTCTAAATCAGCCATAAAAAAAAAAAATACAAAACTGTAGTACAATTTAACGTTTTTTCTAAAATGAAAAAACTACATCATCTGTTAAACGTACGCGATACAAATTTTATATACACTTGTATCAGACTATACATGTTATGGTATTCTTACATCCATTCATAGTTTAAATTTAGGAATTGTTCATTAATTATAATTAATTTGTTGAAAATTTATTTTAGTGTGCGATGTTCGTGGAAAAAGTTACCCTCCCGGTCCATTCATAAGCAAATGCCAAAAGTGTATCTGTAATAAAGATGGATCATGGAATTGTAAATCTCAATGTTCATTTGAATCTATCAAATGCCCTTTGGGAAAAAAAGTAACTCGAATATCAACAGAAGTTTCAAACGGCTGCTTTTGTAACAAACTTGCGTGTGCTACTAATCAAGATACAGGTAAAAATAAATTTATTGTTTATAAAGGAAAAATTATTACTTTTCAAAATAACGTTGTTAGATAATCAAGTTTTGAAAGATATTTGGTTGTAAATTATATTAGGTTGTAAATTTTACAAAGTAATAACTTTTAAAGACCAAATTATTTTTTTATGAAACTTAAGATGTATTCATATAATAAGTTGTTGTCTTATTAAAGAAAACTTTTTTTTAGAAAAGTAAATTCTGGTATATTTTATGTGGGTGTGTCTTTTCCTGTCTGCGCAATTTGGGCAAAATATTTTTGTGATATAAGTATGAACATAAAAGTGTTGGAGCATACATGATAACTTACATGGAACTTAGACGAAAGTTAACTTTTAAAGTTTCTCACTAATTTATTATATTTGTTTTAAATTTAGAGTGTAACGTTAATGGAGTCAATTATCCTCATGGAAAGTTCACTGCCATATGCAGCAACTGCATTTGTAATCAAAATGGATCATGGAGTTGTTTTTCATTGTGTCCAATTTATAAAGTACAATGCAAAAAAAAATCAATCCATAAGTTATGTTCGTAAAGAGGTGATTCCAGGTTGTTATTGCGAGAAACCGAATTGCGTAAATAACAATTGACGAATTTTATTTTTAAATTCTAAAATATTTGTTCAAAATAAAACTTAAACTCTTTAAACTTCTTGTTATGCGTTTTTAGAACGCTACATTCGCGTTTTTAGAACGCTACATTCGCGTTTTTAGAACGCTACATTCGCGTTTTTAGAACGCTACATTCGCGTCTTTAAAACGCTACATTTGGTTCTATGGGAAATATATTTAAAAAGAGAATAATAAAAAAAAAAATCATTTTTTTTTAGAAATCTATGAAATTTTTGATTTATATGACCATTTCATTAGTTGAAATGTCTCATATAAGTTGATTGAACTTGATTAAAAAAAATATAAAAATAAACAATTTTTTTTGTTTAAAATTATTCAATCCTCGAGATATCTAACTTCCAGACATGGAGCTAACTTTAAACATTTATATGTTTATACTTATATCAAATAAAGATGCTTTGCAAAAAATTGCGGTTATTGGAGCCTGGGGCTCCAATAACCGTTATAATTTTGGGGCTTTTTTGTTCCCAGGCTCATATTCATCATCATCGTAATTTTTGCGAATCTACTTTTGCGAATCATCGCAATTTTTGCAAAGCATCTTTATTTGACATGAGTATAAATATATAAATGTTTGGAGTTTGCTCCTTGTCTGGAAATTAAAAATCTCGAAGACCAAAAAATGCTGGATCCGCCCCTGTTTTAATTTAAAACTGTAATTATGTGTCCAAAAGGACGCATAAATAAATAACATAATTATAGCTGTTTGATGCACTTATGCTGAGATAATGCTTTCACGCAAAAAAATTTTACCATTAAAAAAATACAATGACATAAGCTGGAAACAAACAGATTTTTTGTTTTAAAACTCCAATAAATATATGCAAAAATTTACTCTAAAATATTACTTTTATTACTTTCAAAGATGAACTTTGAACAACATAAACACAAAACTGCATAAACACAAAAATATCAAAGAACATAGGTTTAATTTACAAGGCAAAACCATTTTTGTCACAAAAAAGTCTAAAACTTGTTTACTTTTCATTCATACATAGCTATCTCATCTATGCCAATATAGTATGGGCAGTACCCATAAATTTAAATTAGAACCACTTTACTTACGTCAAAAACACGCTTCAAAACTAGTATATAACAAAAACAAATTTACTCATGCTCGACCCTTACTGGAACAAATGAACGGACTAAATATATTTTAAATAAATGTTTATCAAAATATACTTTTCATGTTTAAATATAAACTAAGTCTGGCTACAGAACATTTTACAGCGCACTTTTTTAAAAACAATATAAATAGTTCCTTTAACATCGTGGTTACAGGAACCTGTACGTCACACAGTCTTTCAAGAGTGTGCATTAGAATGTCTTGTAGCGGTATGTTTACTCTGTATACTCATCTACATAATGCAGTACTCATCTACATAAATGTTTTTTGGATAGCATTTAGCTTTTAAAAATTGTGTATCATTATATAAAAGATACTTGGAGTAGCCTTTTTCTTCAGCGCCATTTTGTAAAAGCTGGTATGTTGATTTTGATATACCACTATTAATGCTAGACCTTCATCAGGTGAGTACTTCTTAGAAATTTCGACGGGTTTGTCATTTGAAATTTCGACAATTTTTTTAGCAGTCTCAATTTTGTTGCATGAAGTAATTCAGCACCAGATAAACTGTTAATAACATTTTTAAGCTTTCTTTTTATTGTTCTGTTACATGCAATTTAGCGTAATGTACGTAAACTGAAAATCTTAAACTAGCCAATTTTCATTGCTTTTCTCAAAATGAATAATATTATTGTTTGCAGCTATCCACCCTTTACGATTTACTTTTATAAAGTTTTTACACTCATAATCTTTTAGTTTAATATTTACTGTAGTTAGGAGAGTTAGTACTGATAAAAAAATTATTTATCATTAGGAACTAGTTTACTTTGTCTTATAAGTGTGTGATTCTCACCACATTTTATATTATATATAAAATAAAAAACAAAAAAAGTATTTTTTAAACAGTGCAATGTGCATTTAATTGAATTGAAGAAAAAATAACATATATTTTTTAATTTGGTTGAATAAAAAACATGATGTTTTAATTAAGTATTTCGATTTCAAGCGAATAATACGATTTGAAACTCGTACATTTAAAATGTCAAATAAACTCAAAAGGGGAAATTAGGGACGATGTATATAGTTCTAATATATTAAAGACATGTTACATTTACTTGCTTAATTACTCGATATAGGTTCTCGTAGGTTCCCTAACTTATCTGATACTTTTTGTACAAAATAAAAGAATTAGATGTTATAACTTATCTGGTTATTATAAAGCCAGTTTATAAATGTGCTATAAATGTTGATCTTTCCTTTATAATATTTTTATAAAGTTATACAATTAAGTTGTTAAAATACAAAGACAAATTGCGCATAAACGTATTATGTTTAAAGTTACTGTTTAATAAAGTTAAGCATAAAAATGAAGAAATTTACGCTTTTTTTTTAAAAAAAAAGAAGTAATTTACTATAAATGGAACCGCAATCGATTTTTTGTGGGCTTTGAAAGATAGTATTTTTGATATAATTTTTGAAATAATAATTTTTTTTTTTTGAGGTTTTGTCTACCACCTGACCCTTTGTGCGTTGTACAGAAATATAAATTTTATTAAACACATTGATGTGCATGCCATGCGAACATACTAATGACCTGTGGGGCTGGTGGTCTCAGCTCAAATAAGCTAGGAGTCTATGTGAAGTTTTATGCTTGATTTATGTGTATGTTGTTTTATATGAATTAAGTTAAATTATTGTATATTATTAATTGTATTGTTATTTATTTAATGATCTTTTTGATCTAAATGCATCGGCTAACTTAAATAAGGACAGGCATAGTGGAGTGTACATACAAAGACTGACTTGATTGGTAGTAGCACAAGTGCACATAGATCAACTGGTTTCGGCAGACATTTTTCTAACTAAAAGAAATAAAAATAAAATAAGCTTATTTTTTTATTATAATAACGCACTTATAAATAATACAGCAAATGTGTTGAGTCAGTCAAAGTTAGTCACGTGTTACGTTGATTGTTCAGTTAGTCAAGTGATACATCGCGGGACAAACAGTGCGTTAGGTATTCTCCAGCCGTCGAACGTGTGTACACTGCCTATATAATTAGTCTTGTTTACAATGAATTATTACAACTAAATTTATTTAACCATTAATATTAAGTCATATATTTATATTAAGTCATATATTTATATTAAAAAATATAAATATATGACTTACTTTTAAAAAGAAAGTTTTTACTTTCTTTTTACTATTAAAATTATAATAATTGTGTGTGTAGCGTAGAGTGGGAGTAGTTGAGCATAGGGGCAAGTTGAGCAGTTAAAATATTCAAAAACTACGCATCGAATAGAGAAAAGTTAGGGAATTAAAATGGCAACACAATCCGATTGTTGGACGGTAGTCATAAAAGATGTGCAGGATATTTTTATTATTTCGGAGAAAAAAAGTGAAAAAAAATTATTGCTATTTTTCACTCAGTTGCTTATAAATTTAATCACGTGATCTACCATTGATATTTTATTAATTTATCGGATATTCAATTATAATTAGTCATTTCTTACTGTCAATCTGTTCTCTTTAAAACCTAATTAATGTGTTTAGTTAGGATAAGTTGAGCAGCTTTGAAAAATTAAATAAAACTGAACTATCAAACAAAATAAGCAACTTTGATAAGAAATAAATTTTGAGGAACAAAAAAAAAGTAAAATTGTTTACTTCCAAAAATTAATTTTAAAAAATTATCTCAAAACATTGCTAATAGCGCCTGTCTATAAGATAATAAATATTTATTTATAAATTATAAATCCCATCACTTTAAAATTATTTTAATATTAATAATCAATTGCATATCCTTTGTCTTTTATTACCTCTCTACATCAAAGTGACATTGATTCAATCTACTACTGATCGGCATTACTAATTATTCCTTTCAGTCGGATGGCGTCGTCTAACTGCTTTTAAAGGCTTTTAATGGGTTTAAGGCCCGGTAAGTTAGCTGGTCCTTTTATTAAACTGATTTGGTTAGTATTAAATCAGATTTAATAAGTTTAGATGTATGTTTAGGGTCATTGTCCTGCTGGAATTTTTACCTTAAAGGCATATTATCATCAGCAAAAGAAACTATTTGTTCTTCTGATATATCTCTATATACGACACGGTCCATAATGCCATTGATTTAAATTAACAGTCCTAAACCAGAAATACTCGAAAAACATCCTCAAACCATCACTCTTTTACCACTACCATGTTTAAAAGCAGATTATGTATACTTTAGGTTTAATCGCTCACATTATGAGCGTCTTTAGTTTTTCTCCCATCTGAATGATTAAAAAGTTAAATTTTGGCTCGTCACTCCATAAAATGTGACTCCATTGCTCTACTGCCCGATTTTTATAAGCATGGGCGAATTATATTCAGCTTTTTTATTTTTTCTGAAATAAATGGTTTTTTTGCAGCTCTGTAGCTAAATAGCCATGTTATAACAAGATGTCTTCTTAAATCGCCATGCTTTAACAAGACGTCTTCTTAAACAGCCATGCTATAACAAGACGTTTTCTTAAATAGCCATGCTATAAGAAGACGTCTTCTTACAGTATTTTCTGAAACCTAAAGTTCTAATTCCTTAATTACATCTTGAGCAGTAGCAAAGAAATGCTGAAAATTTCTGAAAGCACTACCAAAGAAATGCTGAACTTTCTGAAACCTTAAGTTCTAATTCCTTAATTACATCTCGAGCAGTAGCAAAGAAATGCTTTTTCACAAATCTCACTAACCGACGATCAGTAGCATTTGATCTTTCGGGAGAACGATTCCGTTGTGCTTTGTTTCGACAGTGCCTCTGATTTTGTAACTGCTCATCCATCGGTTGATCACGGACGATCCATCGGTTGATCAATCGATTTTACCATATTGTACTTGACAGATAGTTTATGTTGTTGAACTGCATTACTAAAATCAGCAATTAATTTTTGCTTAAATAAGGTACTATATTTGTTTCTGGTCATTATTTAATCCTAAAATGTTACAATTATATATCAAAGTTATTGAATAACAAAATGATATTAAATTATAATAAAGTTGCACTTTTAAAACAAAAATAACTAATAAAAAATATCAACTTTATCTAACTAATCATAATTTAAAGAAATTAAATTTATTTTTGTGGTTAAATTGTATACTTTGATTCTATTGTCAAACTTTTGTTTTAAAGTCTATTCAATTTTTTTAAATTATTAATACCGGTATTTTAAACACAATTTATAATACTTCATTGATGTTAAAGATAACAATATTTTAAGAATTTGTTTTAATTATATTTAATAAAAATTATTTTTCAAAATTTAATAGAAAAACAACATAATCTCTATCTATAAAATAATCTCTATCTATAAAATAAAATTTAATAATTTTGTCTCCTAAAATGATGCTTTAGTTTTGAAAGTCAGTGTAGGCCCAAAGTTCAATATCTATTCTGGCTATACAAGCAACACCAATAAGAAAGGTGTAAATATACAAGCAACACCAATAAGGAGGGTGAAAACCTCCTCGTTAAATGCTCTCCCACGGTTCTGTGACAAGACAACAAATTAAAAATTTGTAAAAATATATTTATCTATATAATAAGGGATTGTTTTGTATACAAAATTTTGTCAATTAAACTTCGATACACAAACATCAACAAATAACAAAAATCACTAGACGACATTAATTTCACGTATCGGTTCGTTTTCGCGAATTCTACCGTACCTAAACTTATGTAAGTCAATTACACTAAATTTTCCATCAATGATATATTCGCTAATTGCATTTCCAACAGCAGGAGATTGTTGTATGCCATGACCAGAAAACCCGTTGGCAAAGTATAAATTTGGTATATCAGAATGTGGTCCAATAATTCCATTTTGATCGAAAGTATTATAATCGTAAAATCCTGACCAAGAATGTTTCAGCTAAACAAAAAAAAGTCATGAAACCATGACAACAACAAATAGCCATGACATTTATATGGATAAATAAATCATAATAATTTTCACAATAAATTCTAATAAAATTTCATATCCAATCAAAACCCAAATGACTTGGTTTCAGCTTGTCAAGAATCTTCAGATGAAAAAATACAAGTAATAAAAATACAGAAAAATACATCCACATCAAATCACTTAAAACTTAAGAAATTTTGATTGGTATTTATATTTTTTAAAACTTTTTTTGGCTGTTGCAAGGAAAAGTTTAAATGCAAAATTTTGAAAGAAATGTTGAACAGTTTCATAGATATTTCAATTTTAATATTGACCAGGTTTCCAAAAATAATCCGGTTGTTTTCAAATATATATTTTTTTTAATAAAATTGTTATTTTTTTAATAGCAATTACCCGGTGGGAAATGAGCTAGTAGTTAGTTTTATAGCGATTCTCAAGCGATTTTTTTTTTCTTATTTTTTTTTTTCCTTATGTATTTAACATCTTTAAAAATTTTATTTTTAGTGTTGAGTCTATTATAATTATGAGAATAATTGAACTTTAAAAATTGCAATATTGTAGCAATGTGACGCAAGCTACATATCGTAGCTTTGTAGCTAGCTAAAAAATATCTACAAATTTATAGCTGGTTGATAGCTAAATATCAAAAATTTTTAAACAGGGATTTTATTACGATATGACGCTAGCTACAACAGCTAATAGGTCTTTAGCTTATTAAGCTAGATGTCCTTGTAGCCTAACTGCTGTCTTTATCGTTACGATTATAGCTAGCTATTCTCTTGCCGAGTTCCGTTAAATTAAAACAACAAAGGCAAAAATAGAAAAACAAGCAATAAGAAAAAACAAATATATTTTTGTTGAAGAACTCAAAAATGTACTTAAAACAATAAAGTATGAAGAGAATATGCCTAAAACTAGAAAAACAATTATTTCAATTTTTTTTTTCTTATAATAATTTATATTATATAATATTATATAATATTTATTATATATTATATATTTATTATGTATTATATATTATTTATTATTTAATAATTATAATATTATATAATAATTCTTATAATAATTAATTACTTAAAATAGAAAGATAATATTTTATGATATTTTTAATTACTAAAAATAATCACAAATGAACAACAGAACCATATAACTATATATAGAGGCTGTATAACTTCAACTAAAATAAAAAATAATTTTGAAATAATTTTAAACTAAAATAAAGGATAATTTTGAAATAACTTTTAACTAAAATAAAAAATAATTCTTATCAACTATAATAGAAGAAATCTATTAATGTGAGTATTATTTACACTTTTATAATTTTTTCTACTGAAAATAAAGTAGAAAGAATTGCAATTTATGTTCTTTTGTTTAAGACATTCTTCTTACTGGTCACACCAAGTAATGTTTTTCTTGTTTAGGTGTGCATTGATATAAAGACAATATGAAAGACATTCTACAAAATATTTGAAATATATCCCATATAGCAAAAAGCTTGTTGAGTTCAATGCACACACAACAAAAAGCACTAACTGTAAAACTTTACTATTATATATTGTTTTTAATTAGTATTTTGTAAAATATTTATAAAAATTTACAGACAAGCTTTTTACACTTCAATTATTATATTTAAACTTTTGAGTAATTTTAATTTAAAAAAAGTAGTTACAATAGACACTTAATTCGAAATAATTTGATTAACACTTCTGGGAAGTCTTAATTTGAAATAATTTGATTAACACTTCTGGAAAGTCTTAATTCAAAATAATTTCATTAACACTTCTGGGAAGAAACTCTGAAGAACATGTAAACAAAAGATTGCAAAAAAAGAAGTTCTTACAAATGAAAAACAAGTTAAACAAGATGACTTTGTAACATCATCATTAAAAATAACGACAGGAAATCAGCAAAGATTTTAATATATCTTCTTTAAAATCTTCAGTTCAAAATCTTCAAAACAAATATGACGAGGACGAGGAGTAAAAGCTTAAATCAATAAAATGATAAAATGTACTTAAAAGTCATTTCAATTTTAGAAAAAAGTCATTTCAATGTTCCTTTAGAAAAAAGTCATTTCAATGTTCCTTTAGAAAAAAGTTATTTTAATTTTTTCCTTTAGAAAAAATGAGCAATGAAATTAATATAGTTACCGGTAAGTTAAACACGAAATTAATAGTATTAAACAGAAAGCTAAAAAACTAATAAAATAATAAAGGAGTGTTACTCAATTTCTCAAACTTGTACCTACAAGTTGATTGATTTTAGAAGTGCAAACTTTGCAGTCACAAAATATCCTGTAAAGACACCTAGACTGCTCTTTATCAAAAAAGAACCGTTAGCTATTTCAGCTAAGTAAGCTTACGTCAAAGTAAGCTATTTCTTCTTTGTGTAAAGACAAAGTTTAACTAAAACATTATGCATAAAATGTTTAAATGTTCAAATTAAAAATTTAAAAGATTTATGATTTTTTTATTGTTTTATGAAATGATTTTTTTAAGATAAACCTTGTAATAAATTAAAAGATTTGATTAACCATTTATTATAACAAAAATTATGTGATGTAAATTATGTATGTTGCATATGTGGATAGAAAATTTGAAAAAACAACATGCTCATGCAAGGAGAGCATGTAAAAGATATAAATAAACAAGCTGTATGAACCATATCCTTCTCTTTTTCATTAATAGTATTTGAGATGTCCTTTGTCAACTCTAATGGAAGCAAATAAATAGCACCTCCCATAAATTTTACTTCCTGGCAGGCTGCTGTGTAATAAAAATTTATAGCAAGAATGTCTACCAAAGTAATAAAGATTCTTTGTTCTGACAGAGAAACTTGTAATCCCCCTTCCTTGAAAACATAAAAGTTTTATCAAACTTTATTACTGCTTTGATAGATCCACCCCTAGCTCTGTTCATAGTTTTCTTGTCAGTTGACTTTCATGATCTGTCAAACCTTTAAACAGTCTTTTTTTTTTTTTTTGAGAATTTTTTTAGCTGACTTGATGTTTTTCTTATCATTCAACTGCTTAACTCTTTTAAATCATTTCTTGTCATTGGCAATCTCTAATTCTTCATTTTATCTTACAGTCACTGATATATTCCAATCAGATCTATTCTCATTTTAAAACGCTCTATCTTCTCTTTTTGCATTTTCTGTTGTTCTCTTATCTTTTATGATCTGATCATGTTAATTAGTTAAAAAAAAAAAGAAATGTTCCAAGAAATGTTAAACAATATATTACTCTCCAGCTTTTCAGTTCAATTTGAACTTAAAATTCAAATCTGAAACCATTTTGTACAAATCATAAAATTAATTGGACGAAAAATATATCGTACATTTTATATATAGATATATTATATGAAAAATTTAATCTCACAGATCTTCCTTTCCATTCGCAGAGTGTTGATGTGATGTGAAATATCATCTATAATCACTCTAGTGAAGTGCAACATTGTGACTATCCATTCACAATGTTGCACTTCACTAACCACTAACCAACGCACTTAAATACAGCTATTATCTAAATATTAGTGACAGCTGAAGTTACATAACTACTGACTAATCCCTCACATGCTCTATCCTAACAAACTAGAGTTTTCCTATCTGTTATTGTTGGACATGCTCTTTGTTGGATTGAAACACAGATTGTGCATCCGATTGCACAGGACAGAAAAAATATATAAAAACTTTTAGAATCTATGCCAACAATCTGTTTTCAGATAAATTCTCTCACAGACTTCTTGCTCTTCAACTCTTTTAATTCTTTTCTTCTTCTTTCTGTTAACTTTCTATTAACTCCTAACTCAAGTGGTTGTTTTCACTCCTTGCTTGCTTAAAACCAAATATTTACATCAAAATATTAGGGAAGAAATTTTCCATTAAAAAATCAATGATGCTAACTTTATTTACACAAAATTATTGAACTTTCAAATGCAACATGAAAAAGTTGAAGATACAATGGCTTAATTTTAAGAAGTGCAATCTAAATGACAATACTTTGAACTACAGTTAAAATAAATTATATTCTTAATAAATTAATAATTTTGGTAAATTTATCAATCAATATATATTATATACTTTAGTAATGTTTTGTATTAAAATTAATTTAGATCTATTGTAAGATTTAAACTTAAATTTTATCTAAAATTTTAAACTCAGATTTAAATCAAAATTAAATTTAAACTCAAATTAGATTTAAACCCAGATCTCAGTGTTGATGGGTACTATTTTTTAATTTGCAAAAACTCACATAGTTACATGCTTGGCTTTGGGATATACATATGCATAAATTCACCTGTTTGTCAAGAAATCAGGTTCGAATCCTAAGTCCATTCTTTTATGTGCTTCCCCTTAGCATCTCTTCACTTTATCACATTTCTCTTTGTTCTTTAACGTTCTCCTTCTTCCCAAGACTGCACTCTTTTAGATGTATTATCTGTTCAAGTTGAGTATGCCCTCTCTCTTTACACATCTGCCAATATTGTTGTTATTGGTGACTTTAATGCTCATCACAGTGAATGGATTGGGATTGGACTCTAACGCCACTAACCCTGTTGGCACTAAACTTCTGCATTTCTCAATCTTTTACTCAGATATTTAACTTTATGACTTGTTTTCCTAAAAACTCTAATCGTTTACCTTCACTCCTTGATAAATGCCTTGTCTCTTACCCTAGTTCGTGTCCAGTTTCTTCCTTTTCTTCCTTAGGTTGTTCTGACCATGCAATGATCTCTATAAATCTTTCATTTCGTATTTCCTTTTCTAACTCACCCAATCATTGCACTACTTACTACTGACTGGGATTCTTTTCGTGATTTTCCCGTGACGGTCCTTAGGCTGATGTCTTGATAAATGTTGATGTGTCTCCTATATGACCTCCTTGATTCAGGTAGGAATAAAAACTTTTATTCCTTCTCCTTCGTTCCAAGTCTAGCTTAATTCTACTCCATGGTTTTTAACTTTTTGTGCAGATGCTATATCTAATTGTAATCTTTTTCAAAAGATCAACTCTCTTGAGAACAGAAAATTTTCAACAGCATCATTAACAAGGGTAGGTCTAACATTCCATCTCATATTCATGGAACTGATCTTATTACCTCTCCTGAGGATAAGGTAAAACTATTTGCAACGAATTTTTCTTCTAATTTGACTCTTTTTTTTTTCTTTCTTCCATTCCAATTAAACAGGTTAACCCACTGTTAGATATTCAAATCACTCCAACTTCTATTGCTAAAATCATATCTCAATTAAACTTTTTCTACAGCTTGTGGTCCAGACAACATTCCTGTCAACATTCTTACCCCTCCAATTATTGTCCGATCAGTCATTTTTCTGTTATTAGCAATCAATACAGTCACAATCAATACGGTTTTTGATCCTCTCACTCTACGGCTGACTTGCTAATTGCTGTGACTGAAAGATTTTATTGGGCATTAGATGGAGGAAGTGAGGCTAAGGCTATTGCTTTCAACATATCTAATGCTTTCAACAAGGTTTGGCATGTTGGTCTTCTCCATAAGCTTGCTTCATATGGTGTATGTGAGAAAGTTTTTGAGATTATCAAATCGTTTCTTTCTAACCACTTTATTGAAGTCATCCTCAAAGGCTTGAAGGCTAACACTCTTCTTTATTTCCATTAACTTTTGGGGTACCTCAAGGTATCCTTGGTCCTGTTTTTTTTTTTATATTTACATTAGTGATCTTCCTGACAACCTTTAAGTAGCTCTTTTTGCTGACAGTCTTCTCTTTTCCATTACTTTGAACAAGCATCCAATCTTGAATTTGATCTGCGTAACAGATTGGGCCTCACAGTGGCTTGTAAATTTTAACTCCAGTTATTTACTGCAAACAACAATCACAATACAGTCGACATTTCTATATCAATGAATGGTAAACTGAGTCCTCTTCTTTACGTCTTTTTGGATTATGGCATCTGCTAAGGTTGCTTATCTTTATCAAGTTTGTCATTTTCTTACTACTTACCATTCTCTTCCTCTACAAATCTCTTATTTGTCCTTGTATGGAATACTGTTGTTATATTTGGACTGGTTCTTCTAATGATGCTCTTTCTCTTCTAGACAAGATCCAAAAACGCATAGCAAACATTTGGACTGCTCTATCCGCATCTCTTTCTCTTTTTTATAAATACTATCGTGGTCACTGCTGAAAGGAGTTATCACCTCTAGTTCTATCAATTAAAACTCATTCTTGTCATTCAGCTAAGTCTCAATCTTTTACTGTAATTGTCCCAATGCTCTAAAAACTTTTATTTATCTAGTTTTTACCCCCACACTTCAACCCTTTGGAACTCTATCCCTTTTTCATGTTTTCCTGACTTATACAACCTACAAAGTCTCTTGTAAACCGTTTCCTTGCTCTATAACTCTATGCTTTTTTCTAGTAACTCCTAACTTAGTAGTGGTTACTTGTAGCCTTGTTGGAAGTGAATTAGAGTTTTTTTTATTATTTTTATTTTATTTAGAAAGAAGTTACTTTATAACTTCTTGTAAAAGTGGTATATATTGAAACTATAATTATATATGCTTTTATGTTTTTACTGCTTGTTTTATTAGGGAAATCTATTAAAACTACGATATCTCTGGAACCACTAGCATTTTCATGAAATTTTGCACACAATTTTTTACAAATAGGAATCAAGTGCCAAAATAAAAACACATAGTTCAATTGAGTGGGTGATTTGATATAGCATCAGAAATAGAGAAACTTAATATAACCATAAAATACCTTCAGTGTTTCCATTCCAACAAACCTGGTTGCAAGCACTGGCCAGATAACCTCATTGAAGTAATCATAATTTACATCTAGATTCGAACAATCAGGCTCGTCAGACTAAATTTAAAAAAAAGAGTTTATAAAAGTTTTTTCCCAGTTTTTATTTATTATTAACTTAATTTTGCATTTAATTATTATACTTCACAAGGACTACATCCAGCTAAATAAAGAGTCCCACTTCCTTCTGGTCTACAATATACGCCAGTTGGATCAACTGTTAATGGCATACGTCGACCTGGTCCATTTGGGCAATCAAAAACAAAGACATATCTTTTTCTAGGTAAAACTGGAAGATGAATATTAACTAATTGCATAAGCTCCCCAGCCCATGGACCTGCTGCATTAACCATGTGACGGCAATCAAGAATGTGACTCTCCTTTTCAAACATAATCTAAAAAGGTTGGAAAGCTGATATGGATACCTACATAGAAAGTTATTATTATAATTATTATTAACTTTTTTTAAAAAAAATTGAAGAAAAAATTTTCTGAAGTAAAACAAATTTTATGTAAACCTGAACTGAAGACACAAAAGAATCTATATTTATATGCGTGCAATGACCATTTATATAATCTACACCAAGAGAAGTAGCTTTTTTTCGAAAAGCATGTAGCAAAGACCAGCCATCAAACCAACCTTCATTTGCATTACCTTAAAAAAAAATTGAAAGATTTTTTTTTCAATTTTTTTTTTATAAAATTAGTTATTTAAGTCTTTATATTTGATTTCGTAATAAACCTTTATGGAATCAAATATAAAGACTTAAATAACTAATTTTATAAAATAAAAATAAATAAACTATCTTAATATCTTTTAAAGTTGTAACTTATGTAAGCTTGTAAATATATATAAATCAAAGAACTTGAAATTTAAAGACTAGAAGTCTCAAGACCCAGTTTCAGTTTTTCGAAAGAGCAAGAAAAAAAATTCTAAGCAGATTTATAAAAACTGGAAAATCAAATAGGTAATCATTTCAAAAAACCTATTCAGATGATTTAGGTACATGAAATTGAAAAACTTTATTAAAATTTACATAAAACTCTATTATTGTATTAAAACTAAAAGCATTAATGATCAAGAGCTTTTTAAAAATACTAACACCAAATGAATTACACTGAAGTATGACGAAGTATGACATGGTACTGTGAACTTGTAATTTGTAATCTAAAACAGTGTGATTTGAAATTGTTTTATTAGCACAATGAAAGTAATATGAATTCCATTCAATACTCTATAAAGTATTTGATTTAATTCTCTTGACTATATTTGAAACAAACAACTCAAATCATGATTTGCATATTTTAAAGTACCTAACAAATAAAATGGAAAAAGTATTTGAAAAAACTAAATTTTTATATGTAGTTTTTCTTGATAGACCAGCCAATTTTTTTTTCAATTGAAGTAAAAATAATAATTAAAAAAAAAGTGATTATGTTTTTGCTGCAACATTTTATGTTTTTTTTATTATTTTATTATTGTTTTTTTTTTTTTTTTTTTTTTTTGATAAATTAAAACAAAATCTAAATAGCAAGTTAACTTAACAAATAATAATATTAAAAAAATTTGAAAAATAAATTAAAACTATAAAAATAGCTGAATAAAAGTCAAAATAAAACAACAATAAACTTTTTATAAGAGTAAAAAACAAAACAAAAAACTTCTATTTACATTTACTTCCAGCAACAATGCCATCAATATTAAGCCATGGATAACAATTTAGCAAACCATTACAAGACAAAATTTCAACATCAACACCACACTTTCTTTAAAAATAAATTTCTATTAAAATAGAAATATTAAGTTCAAAAAAATTATTTTTATATATTATAAAAAACCAAGAGAAGAAGTGTAAGAAATAGAAGAAAATAAAAAAAAAGGCCAAAAAATGCTTCATGCTAATTTGAGACTTTGAGTAGTTTAACTAAGTCTTTACTTCTTTTAAGAGAAGTCATTTTTTGTTTTAAATTAAAAGTATGGTTAAACAACTAAACAAAGTTGCTTATAAATTAATTTGTAATTTTGTACCGTTATTTTTACATATAACTGTACAAACTATGTAATATTGTTAAGGCTGTGCCTTTATAGTATTGCACAATTTTGTTTGTATGTTGCATAAAAATTTTATGCAATTTTATGATAAAATTGCATAATAAAAAACCATTGGCAATGGGTTTTTATTACAAAGGCATTTTTATATTGCATAACTTATTGTTCAATTAAAATGTGTTAATAATTTAATTTTAAGTTCAATTACTTTATAGTATTTAGTATTTTATTTAGAATTTTAAGTTTAGTAGTTTAGATTGATTAGATCATAAATAATTAACCGTTGAACACTTATATTTGATTCTAATATCTTCTGTCCCTCAAGAGATGATGCCAAAAACATGTATGAACTTTGAAACAACTGAATATCGGGTGCTTGTGCTTCTCCATCAACAAATAAATTTCTATTTATATTTTTCAAAAAATTATAGCTCCAACGAGAGAGATTGATATTTTCAGGACATGAAAACTGTTGTCGAATAGATGAAACTGATAAAGCACTGGACGCTTTCATGTACTGCAATTAAAAAAACTTCAAAAATTACTAGCTAATTAAATTTAGGCTTTTTTTAGCTAATAAAATAAACTAACTTACAGTAGAATCTTTTTCAACTACAGCTATTTTTAGAGAAGGTTCCTTAAACTTTAAAAAATATGCTGATGAAGACCCCATTACCCCTCCACCAATAATAACAACATCGTAATGTATATTTCTTAGTCGTGGTAAAAATTTTAAAAAAATGGGTGTAAAGCGATTCGGAAAACTCATTTTAGAATCTATGTAAAATTCTTTAACTTATTTTTAAATAAGCAATATGTAGATTAAGTATCTGAGTCATTAAGTATAGTTAAACACAATTGTAAACAAATCAGCGGTGCTTTTCAAGAAATAGCCTTTAGTCTGTTATTATAGTTATAACAATCGAGGCAATTCTTGACTGCGTTAAAAAAAATTAGATTTTAAAATATCCTTTTTTTTTGCACAAGCAATCTAAACTGTAAAATATTTATCAAGATACAATTATCTTATATGTAGTATACAGCGCACAGTGAGTCAGAAAGGTGAAAAAACGGCAAAAATTGTATAACTATCATATATAAACGTGTGATATATCAATACTATCGTATTTTGGGTCAAAAAATTTAAATTTGTTATTGAAAATATTTTTTACGCGTACCTATGACGCGTACAACGCAAGCTTAGGCGTGTAAGTTTCATTTACGCGCGCAAAATATGATTTAAATAAATAAATCGCATTCCTTGATTCAAAATACCATATAAAAAAATACCATATATTTTTTAATGTAAATTTTTCTTGTGCCTAAGAGTCGTACACGCGTATAAGACTCTAACACGTATACACGCGTATACGTGTTATAGTCTTTTACGCGCACAAAGACTTAATTTAAAAAAATTAAATTTTTCAAACCAAAACATATACTTATTAAAAAGAAAAATTAAATTCAAAAAATCTTTTAATGTTATAATAATATTAAAGTATATTAAATACAAAATAAATATTTATCTCATCTAATTTTTCTTTCAAGAGCACAAAAAAAGAAAAACCTAATGTTATAAAAAAGCTTTATTTCACTATTACAGGATTAACAAAGACAAAACTTCAGGGGTAAGTGTTTTTCCATTTTCAACCTTGTATTTTTTGAAACAAATGTTTGATATTACAGGATCACTTCTAATCAAGAGGTATTGGTACTGGTTTTTCATAACATTCTTTCTTGATATCTTGGCTGTATGATTTAATCTAGCTTTGCGAATTTCCTTATTTAGAGCTTCTTGTGACTCTTCAGAGTAGTAACCAATTGGCAGTTCTAATGCCTCAGATATCTGCACACCAAGTTCCAAGAGTTTATGAACAGTTGGGGGAATCATATACCAGCAATAGTTTTTGAGTATAAGAGCTGTAGTTTCATAGCAATACTGGCCAAAACTTTCTAAGTTTAACTCATAACAGGAGCATACTGATATTAGGATTGTCCTTAATCTAATAATTACATCTACTGACACTCCCATTATATCAGCGAAGGTTTCAGCATTTTCAAATGCCCTTCTGGCAGTGTTTCCATCGTTAGTGTTGCGTTTGTTTAACTTATATCCTAAATGTAAAATATATTCAAAAGATCTGAGCCAGCAATGCAGAGTAGAAAGGTCTAAAGATAAAACTTTTTCATTAATTGGCTTAGATCTGATCAATTCTGGACTATTAAGTTCACTGGACTTAGATCCGCAAATATTACATGATTGGGAGGATAGAGTGTTAGTGAGGGCATTAACCACTTTACCATCAAACATGGTTAAATCTAGTTTAAACTTAAATGTGATTGTCGTATCCGGTTTGCCTTCCTCTACTTATAACTTTACTTCAAACTTGACTATTCAGTTTAAACTTGACTATTCAGTCTATTCATTTCTGCTTTTAAAAGTTTATACTCATTTCGTATCAATTCTTCCGTTTCTTTTTGATATTCGAGATGTAAGGGTCTACAGTAAAGTGTACTGGAAGGCTTCTTATTTAACCATATATTTTTGTTCGTGATGGTTAATTTAAGTGGAACAATAGCTGTCTGGAAGACATTGCTCTTTAACTTGGGCCTCACCAATATTTGTATCAGTACATTTTTGTTTATAGACATTTTGACTGGAGGCACCATCAAAGCCACCTTTAAAGTGAAGTACACCTTTAAACTTCCCCCCAATTTCTGCAAACATTCTCATAGAATCTTGGCATTCCGTAAAAGTTAATATTTTTGTCAGTGTATGATTAAATATACCCTGTAGAAGAGTTGAAGCAGATGTTTCTGTCACGATTAAACCCTCAGGATAACACTTCTGTCTCTCATTCTTAATTTTTGTGAAGTGAAGGATAAATATCTGCATTATGTATTATTGATGAATTTCTAATAATTTGATACTGCTCATAAGAGGTCACACTGAACTTTTAAGCTCAAGGCATCTTCGGTTTTCATTTTTATCGAAAAATTTATCTTCGTGATATTAACTTTTTCAGAGTTTGTTGCACTTTTCATGAAAACAACAAAATCTTTTTTGGTAGGATCTCTAGTGGCTTTTTTAATTGAAGCTAATGCCAATTCTTCAGCAGGATGTTCAGCCAATTTGGCAACCTTAAACAAGATAATATTTAATATTTAAGTTTGTAAACTATTTTTTCAAACTGGGTTGAACTTAATTTATTTATTATTACCTTAGATCTTCTGCTTCTATCTCCTAAATCTTCCCAGTTCTTGCTCTTTCTGCCTGGACCTGCTGCAAAGTTTTTTTTGTTAACCGTTTCATCTTTGTTCAACCAAGTTTGCTCGTGTTCCAAAAGTCTAGAGAAGGTTCTTGAATATTTCTGCAGTTTTGATCGGAATTTACATTTAAATATTATAAGTTTTCTTTAGATTTAACATTTTTGGTTTGTCAATACATTCATAGTAGAGACCCTCCAGTCTACAAAACTCACGTATAAGAGCTTCGAGTAAATTATCATGATTAATTCCTAACTCTTCAATTATAGGGACTAAATGTATTCTTTTCATGTTTAATGTAAGCAATGAACTATTGTTAGTTATTTTACACGCAAGTTTGAATTTTAAAATATGCACTATAACATCAAATATTGCATATTTTGGTTTTGAGGTTGATAATTAGCACCATCTGCTTGAGCATGAGTTTTTTTAGTAATAGGAACTAAATGTATTATTTGTGTGATGAATGCAAGCAATAAACTATTGTTCGCTACTTTATGCGCAAGTTATAATTAAAAACGGAAAAAAAAAATACAAAAAAAAACAAAGTATTTAAAAGGTCTTATTTTAATTTGGGGCAAGTTGGGTAAAATGATTTTTATTTTTTCTGCTTTCATATATACCTATTAATGGGAAAATATTAAAACTACCATGGAATCTAGTGGAATCTTTTAGTTTTTGAACTAAACTCATAATTAAACTAATTTAAAAAAATCAATTTATGACATATTTTTGAGATCTCAGTAATAAAAATCTAAAATTAAAATTTATTGTTAAAAATGTTGTTAATAGTTACCAAACATCTTAAACATATGACTTCAAATTAAATTTTAAACTGTTTTTACCTATATCAATCTTAAAAGAGTGACACTAAAGTGAAACTTTTTTGAACGAGTTTTCCGATAAATAAAATAAAATAAATAAGTCTCGGAAAAAGACGTATCTTAAGAATTATTCAAAAAAAAAAAAATATTTATTGTTCTTTAGTGGTATTTAGTGACATTATAAACTAATTATTTATTTTCTAGCAAAAGTTTTTTATGGGGGGTTTATTGCCATTTTTTATGGATTTTGACTCACTGTGCGGCGTAGGAAATCATTTAAGAAAGTTGGGGGGCGGGGAGGGCTGAACCAAAAATTAAAGCGGGCTAGGGAAGCCAGAATAAGATTTAGAAACTTTCCGAGGGTTCGTTGGGCTATCGCACCCCGTGCCCCTCCTCCCTACCGGCCCCTCAGTTCCTACACTAGTGGTTGTACAACTTAATATAATGTGATTGCAAAATTAAAAAAAAAAAAGTGCAATTAGTTTTAGGATTAATATAGATGATGACTTAAAGCCTGAAGCAAAGAATGCATTCGTAATTGTTGCTGTTATTGTTAACAGATAATAGGATGTTCCATTTAATTTTTTTTTTATTATTCATCTCACTGAAAGTGAAATAGTAAATTTTATTAGAATTCGCTAATTAAACTTATTATTAATTCTGAAAGGGTCAATCTTTTTAATTTAGAAAATAAACAAATTTACTGGAAATTAGAATACAAAGATCCATTAAAGCTTCAAGATAGAGAGAACTTTACACTTTGTAGTATCAACAGATAAAGGATGTAAAAATTAGTTCAATTGCTAGATACATGGCTAGTCTTTATAATAAAATGATTCGCTTATTTACTGGATTTAATAACACAAAAATTTTAATTACATAAAAAAATTTAATAACATAAAAATTTTATGCAACTTTATGATAAAATTGCATAATAAAAAACCATTGTAATATTGCATAACTTATTGTATAATTAATATGTGTTAAGTAGGATAATAATTAGAGTTCATTTTCAAAAACGTAGTTTTTGAAAATTTTCGGATTTTAAAAATTTTTTGGATTTTTAAAAAATTTTCGAAAAATATCGAATAGATAAAATAATTTCGAAAATTAAAATTTAAGTTTGAAAAGTCAAATTTATTTTGAAAAAAAAAAAAAATCGATATACTAAATTAATTTCAAAATTGAATTTTTAAATTGAATTTCGAAAATTTAAATAAATTTTGAAAAAAAAATGAATTTCGAAAAGTTAAATTAGTTTCGAAAAAAAATACCGATTTCGATTTGGTAAATTATTTTCGGAAAAAAAAAATTTTTACAAAGTTAATAAATTTCGAAAAAAAAGAACTTCGATAAATTAATTTAGTTTCGAAAAAAAAAAGATTTTTGTTCAAGTGATATTTTTTTTGAAAAAAAAAAAAGAGTTTTGAAAAGTGTAATGTCTAATTGGGCTTTCGCGGGCATCTACAAAAACTTTTAGTAGCGCGGACCCCTACAAATGTTGAAAGTACACTCAAAGTTCGACTGTTGTGGAATTCATACATGGAATTGTCCCAAATCCATCTAACTTTCAGGATTTTGTCTTTTTCTTTGCCTCAAAAATTGGTTTAATCCTAAAAAAAACTAATACACTTGGTTTAACCATGGAAGTATAAAACAGATGGAAGTTCATCGATCCGCAAACATCAAAGCAATTTCAAGTCGTCTCGGGAGTATGCATGTAACCGACAATAAAAAAAAACAAGTCTCTTGATTAAAA